GGTTGCCATTTGAGCCAGCTTAGTTATCTAGCTGTCTCTGCTAAAGAAGGTAGAAGTGGTAAGACCCAAGGCAGGCTTTCTGTCTGTAGTAAGGAGAGATTAGAGTTGCCATCCTAGGAAGAAACAGAAAATATCCAGTATGAACACAGTTAGGCACAGTATAGAAAGTCTGAGTACCTTGTATACCTTAGGAGGCCCCTGGAGGGTGGCTATATGTATCATGGTATATTGCAAAAGGTGATGTGTCTAGTGCTGAATATAGGATGCCAATGGGTATATTTCACTCTATCTCTCTCTGTCTCTCTCAGTTTCTCTCTGTGTCTCTCTGTTTTCCCTCTCTCTCTCCTTTACCCCTCCCTATCTCTTCTGCTTTAAGCAAAAATATACATATATTTTTGTTTTTTTTAAGGGGGGCTTTTTTGAGACAGAGTTTCTCCATATTGTTTTGGAGCCTGTCCTGGAACTCGCTCTGTAGACCAGGCTGTCCTCAAACTCACAGAGATCTGCCAGCCTCTGCCTCCAGAGTGCTGGGATTAAAGGCATGTGCCACCAATACCAACAAAACTGTTTTTACTCATATTGGTCACTTCCTCTTTGCCAACATAATTTTGTATGTATTTTGGTCACTAGCTGTAATCAACTATTCTCCTAAAAGATAGAGAACACCAGTCCTTCTGTGATAACTCCTGTTCCTATTTTTGAGGAATTAGTATGGGTTTTGGACATTTATGCAGAGATACATAGTTTCCTTTGTTTCTAAGGCTTCATAGACAAGGATTACAGAGAAATATTAACATTAAATTTTACAGCCATTATCTACCATCTAATATCCCCTCTTCCTCTTAAAAGATAACACCCTATTTCCTGTTTTCTGGTCTCTGCTTCTTCTGTTGTTGTTGTTGTTTTTTTGAAATCGCTAAAAATGATGAATGAGGGCTTTCTTTTTATTATTCTGATTATATCTGCATACATTTTCTTTCTACTGTCTACATTGATGTTGGAGTGTCATGATGGTTAAAATTAGCCTGTCAGTCATAGATGCCATCCTAACGTCTTTAACTCCCTTTTCAGTTCATTAAGAGAGTGAAATCGCAATTAACCAATGTAGTGGTAATTCACACCCCCATTTTTTTTAATGTAACCATGTTTAAAAGAGTAGATCTTCATTAATCAGGCATGGAGCCTTGTGTGCCTCTCCACAATATTCACAGACCCTACCACTTCCATAAAGAGGTACCTAAAGGTTAAACTCCATTGTAGACAATGTTTGAAAGCAGCGGACCACTGCCTTCCCCCTAGCCAGTGTTTCCCGTCAGAGTACCTTCTCTGTTCTTGGTGACTGCCTTTTGTAAACCAAGTCTCCTTTTATTTCCTTAGCCCTTCCCAATTAGTACAATGTTGAAGTTGGTGTTTTCAATTCATTGCTTGACACATTGTTTCTTCTAAGCATCTTTTTTCCCTAGTCGCCTTGTAAATGCTTGACTTCATTGAGTGAGGGGAGAAAGCCAGGAAGAGGGAGGAGATAAAAGGCCCCCAGCATTTACACACTAGACCTGAAATGACAGGCAACAAAATCTACCCTGATAGCTCACCTGGGAAGATGCTGATAGAGAGGGCTGGCTTGAGCCGCTCCTCACCAACTTTTCCTTCCCTGTCTCCATTTCTGTCTCACTTTCTTTGCTTTGCTTTCTCTCTTTTCTTTTCTCTCCCTTCTTGCATTTCTTTTGGTTTTAACTTGCCATCATGTATCACAGGTTGACTAAAGGTGCAGTTTAGAATGACCTTGGACTTTTGATCCTTCTCTTTACTTTCATGTGCCGAGATTATAGGTATGTACCAATGTGCTGGGTGAGGATCAGACCCCGGGCTTGGTGTGTGGTAGACCAACACACTGCCAACTCAGGCACATCCCCAAGTCATCTTTCCTTAGATCCTCCCTCCCTCCCTCCCCATCTTCGTCCTCCTCCTCTTCCTCCTCTCTCTCTCTCTCTCTCTCTTCAATTCTGCCAGTAAATCTGAACTCCAGGGACACATTCTTTTTTCCAATTTCAAGTGTGAAGAGAAAGTATTTCTACAGGATTTGTCTTGAAATGCAGATGTATTTAGAAGGAGCAGCAGTTGCTCGGCTGTGGCAGCAATCACTGGGAATGGAGTGAACATGTTTAGTGGTGCTCTGTTGAAGGAGAGAGCTCAGAAGACAGTTTTCCAACCCTACTTAGAGAGCAATGTTTCTCAAAGGACTGCTCAAGGCTGCCTGTCATATTGTCCCATATGCTGTCCTTGGACCACAGGGACTGGGTCCAAAAATAAAAGTGGCCCTGGAGACTTGCATTAAAGCAAATCCTCCATGGAACAAGTGAGAAGCAGGACAGCAGTCTACTTATCCAGGTGCTCCATTCTCCAGCTCCCTAACACATTAATGTACCCATCTCTTGAGGAGCCTAAGATAAGACGACAGATGCACAGGCACTCAGTCACAGGTCAGAAAGCATTTGGGACATTTGTCTCATAGGGACCCCAAGACAGGTGAACAAGCTACTCATTTTTCTGAAGTGTAGCACAGTATTGTGAACTCTCCCTCCACTGTTGTATGTGTGACCTTATGTATTGTATTTATTTTCTTTCACCCTTGATAACAATTTCTCTTTCCAAAAATATGAACAATGGACCTTTTTTGGTTGTTTTAAAATAAGACTCAACCTTCAAGATACTCATGAATGGTTTGTATAAACCCTGAATACCAATTGCAGAAGTCTCCTCTGGGACCTTACACAAAGTCAGGGGGCCGCCCATGCCCATAGCACACCCTGTCATTACTTGCTTCTGCTCTCATATGCCTCGGGCCTATAGATGTTGATTTGAATTGTCCTTGTAAAGCCAAGATGCACCAGGACCTGACCTGGAGTGGCTGCTGCATAAATGTTTGTCAAATGAACAAATGAGCTCTAAAAGATCCCGTGACGTCACCTTGACGCACACTCACTCCAGTCGTCATGGGCTCTACCATAAGGAATGACTGGACTTTCTTTCATGTAAAATTAAATATGTTTGTATTAAAATCAGCTTCCTGTGATCCTAACCAAGATATGTTCTGAGACCGCTGCAAGTAGAGCAGAGCGAACACCACGATGCTTTGGGGAACAAAATAGTTGTGAAGTACATTTTTTGTGTGTGTTATGAAATGTTTTAAGGAACTCCAAGCAAATTTAAAAGGGGATCTACTGGATTTTGACTAAGTGCTAAAAACAAAAGAAAATAGAAGGGGTATAAAGGTTCCCTTAATTCCCTATCCAAATACTTCAAGCTTAAATTTACTGGCAGCTATTTCAGAGGAAGATGGTGACTCTGAAATCCTTGGTTTGTTATAGAGAAAACGTTTTTGTCTTCAGATGTTTAGGGAGGGATTAAAGAGAATTTATGACTTGGTGGGGAAGTAATAAACGTGGTAACAATGCAGTATCTAAACTGTCACCAGTTTCTGGAATTACTGTCTACCCAACCAGCAGCATTTTGTATCTAACAGGAATTACTTGCACATAAGGCTTGAGACGCCTGCCTGGATCAGTGGGTCATTCTATCATTTAAGTAAAGTTGAATCAATTACACAGGGGATAAATTCTGTTGCTGGATTGTTGACCACAGGGCACAAGAAACATATTCAAGATTTGCTTCTTTTTTTTTCATGATAAAATTTTTTATTTAGGTTTGGTCAGTACAGGTGAGATATACTGGAGTCATAGGGCAATATGCATTAACAGGAGGACACAACAGTTCATAAAAACTTAGTAACTATGCACACAGATTTCTTAAACATTCAGTCACCTAAAGATGAATGCACAGATGGTGGAAAAACTTCATCTAACACTGCAAGATTTGCTTCTTTTAAGAAATGTAAGCAACATAAAGTATATTTTCTTAAAATCAAGCCACGGTCTGTTCAGTTTCTCTTGATACACTTCATGGTTTAATTAATTTTATTCTTAAGAAAACAAATCACAAGAGTAAGAAATAAATGAATCTGATAGATCATGTTCTTTTTTTGTTGTATCCCTTTTTTATTAATGGAGCTCTACCTTCCAGGGTTATTGTGATTTCTTTAATAAAAAGCAGTTGTGACTTTTTATAACATATTGTAATTTATAAAGAAATGATTTAGCAAAAGAGTCCTTAGCCTTGGAAAGACTTTAATCATAATGTAATGCTTTGGTGGTAATGTCCTTTTATAATTTCAAGGTGTCCCTGTATAGGAGGTGAAAGGACACTGGCAGTGTTCTACGGCAAGGGAATTAATGCACAATTCATCTTTAACAGCTCCTTCTTCTAGGTAGTGCTTCTCATGGGCACAGTGCACTTTTCCTTGGAATGTATACACAAATAAGAAATCTTAAACATGTTAAAAATGTTACTTGGAATGGTGGTGCATCCTTGTAATCCCAGCAGTTAGGAGGTTGCAGCAAGATTTCAGATTCCAGAGCAACCTAAGTTTCCCACAAGGCCATATCTCATTAAACTATGAAAAAGGATGACCATTGCGTAGTTGTTTTGTTGGTTGTTGGGTTGTGTTTTTTTGGCCTCAAGTAAATGATAATTTCGTCTGTGCTTAATGAAGTTTATTGTTGGAACACTTAGAAGTTTCATTCCAAATGTCTTTTATATGTAGGTGAGTTTGGTAGAGAGAAAATGAACCTGAAGTCATTTTAAATCTGCATGGGAATTCTTGCATGATCATTTTGAATTATACAAATGCTTCTAAGTTATGCAGTAATTGATCCCTTTTGTACTTATAAATATAACCCATCTTAGGATCCTCAGCCTCACATGAGTGACCTGCTCTAGCTCTAATGGTTTCTTTTTTAAAATCAAATGTGAGGAGGCATTCCTGCGTGTGTTTCTCAATAATTCAAATCTTTAATGAGCTGAAGGTTGCCCCTTATTATAAAGTAGGTCTCTGTGGTTACTGTGGGCTCCTGTTTAAATTAGTTGTCTTCTTCCCTACTCAGAGTCAAAGAAGCTGAGGAAGTATGTAGGCAGAAGAAAGGAAAATCACTCTATAAAGTAAAACCAAGACATGATTCTGGGATTGTAAGTATTGACTATTCTTGTTTTTGGCTTGTGATGTCTTTGCTGTTGAACCCTGTCTTTACAATATTCACTGGTTTATATAGTAATATCTCAGTCATTTTACTTTATGTTTGGATAAATAATGAGCTTCTAATTCCAACAGTCTCTCTTCTTTATCTTTTTATCAAGACTTTGTATTTGAGTTAGTTTTAAAGTTGGGTATTTGAAATTTGATAATTAAGATAAATATTAGCATGGACATATGTGAGCGCCTGTGTCCACTGCTGCTTGGGGCAGGAGATGGCTGTACTTCTTCATAATATATGAGATACAGACTATTTATGCACCCTGAGTAACTAATATGAGATTTGCTGTATAAAACTCATGAGGAAATGACATATGCTCTCAAGTAGACTGTTTGGAATCTATGACCTAGGAACTGATGTAAGAGTCCTCCTTGGCAAAGTCCTCCATTACAATAAAACACCAAGTTGCATACCTTCTGAGAGAAACATTGGTTAAAATGGCAAATTCTCCTTTCTGCTACTGTAGACGTTTTGTTGAATGCTTTGAAGGTGTCATGCATCCCCTGTTGCCATAGTAAGAAATAATACTAGTTTAAATGAAAATTTAGGACATCACATAAAATAATTTTAAGATTAATTTTTAATTATTTGCAGTATTTATGGGTATGTGGATGTGGATGCAGGTACTTGAGGCAGTGAGAAAGGGTTGTAGCCTCTGGAGCTAGAGTTTCAAAGGGCTGTGAATCACTTGACATAGGTTCTAGGTACTGAACTCAGGGCCTCTACCAAAGCAGTGAAGGTCTTTACTGTTGAGCTATCTCTCCAGCCCAAAGTGAAACATTTTGAATTAGATTAGTATAAAATAGTCTAAGTGAAATGGACAATTAGGATAACTCAAACTGCCTAGGATTAAATAGTCCTGTTTTAAAAGTAGTTCTATCTTCAGATAAAATCAATTTTCCTGTCAGTTTTTCTGTATCATCAAAATTAGTATTATGATATATTCATCTGTGGTGTTTTCTGATCAAAGCTTAATAAATCTATATTGAATCAGAGGAATAGTTGTTAGCTAACCCCGATCATGCTGTTAGATGGAAGAGAATTAAAACTTGCCAACCGTGAAATCAATCCACTGGTTCTGTTTCCGTTTTCATGCCTTTGCATGTAGGCTCTGGAATGACAGGGTTGTACCAACCCCAATTCACATGCATCAAAAGTTAAACTTTAAAGGCTCATTTTCTCAAAAGCATTTGGTAATTTGTTTTGATGAAAACTATTTTAAGATGGAACAGATGCAATGTGTGTAAAGTTTCTTTACTGAATTGATCTTTCATCTTCCATTCAAAGAATTTAATAGAAATAAAGATCTTATTTGGTCTGCTCTACACTCCTTCCTTTTTAATTTTAACCCCACCTGGTATATTTGTTTTCAGAAAGCAAAGATAAGCATGAAAACCTGAGCTGTGAACAGCAGAACAAAACAACTTCCATAGCATCCACCTGACCTGAGGAGGGAAGGAAGCTACACCATTCTGATCATTTTTCTTCTGAACCTCTTGCATAATCTTCCATGTTTTCTAGAAAGTTTGTTGATGTTGAGTTTTCCTGTATGTTCTTTTAAAATTACAAAAGTAGACCTGTGGTGAATTGGATCCCTTTTCTTTTTGTAAACGTTCTGGTGTTATCCCAAGAAACCGAAGCGGCACGTCTAAAAAGCACTATCACACTAACTCTGAAAATGCTAAATCTTATCCTATGGCTTCCTTTTGTGAGATTCTCTCCTTGTCACAACAAAAACATCTTCCTTTCTACTGACAACCAGAACTCCACATCAGTGTGACTAGACTTGTGGATAAATGTTATTCCTGGTGAATTCTTTGTATCTACTTCACTTCTACTTACACATTTTCTATTTTGAAAAGTAAGTAGTATCTATATGTCGTAACTGATGCTTTCCCATTCTTAAGTTGCTCTCTGTATTATGTTCCTTGAGACCATATGAAAGCCTGCTCTGCAACGGAGGTAAATGAAATCAAAAGACATTCCTTTGTATATTACTATGATACTTAACACACACACACACACACACACACACACACACGAGTCACTTAATATTTTCAAGAAATTTGAATAAGTGAAGCTCATGAAATTGAAATTTATTTTTGATGTTTATCATAAAAAATAGATGGATCAGATCTATCTGGACTTTAAGTAATGTACCTGCCTGAGTATTTCGACATGGCTGGGTTGTGACCATGTGTTACGGCAGGTGATTTACAGCTGTGATGTAAGGATGCTTTCATCCTGCTTCTAAAGGGTTCTGGGGAAGGATTTTACTCACTCTACTGTCAGGGGAAATCAGTAAGTTTCCCATTCTTTCTGAGGATATTTTGAAGTCAACTCATTATGCATTAAGGGGGTTTTATATAACAGTAATAGTTGTTCTTTTAAATTGCTGCTAATAATATTGGTTGAAAGTTATGGTTGTAAAGAAGGGGAAAATTATTGTTATGGCAAACCAGTTATGGACAGCAACTTAAACAGATAAATCATGTTCTAAATCATAGCTATATTGTATTTATAGAAAGTATGACTTCTTTCCTTTTACTTTGTATTTGAAGTGCAAAGGAGCAGTAGTGTTTTATTTTCTTCTGTTGTTGTTTTGTAGTTCTTCTGTCCCTCAGTCCTTCCAATGTGTATATTACCACTCTTCAATGAAGTAATAGGGCATTTAACAAAGATCGCTATGTGCAATATTGTATTTTAGTGTTTCTATTTCAATTTTTTAGAATGTTAATTTATATGAAAATAAAATGAATAATAAAATATCTGTGTCGCTTATGTGAATATCCTATATGTATACTTAGAAAATATAGACATCACGATCAACCTTTGCAGGGAGTATAGGTGGGAAATAAGTTAGTCTAAACATTTTCATATGCAAGGAGCATGAGAATCACTCATCTTGGGATTCTGAAACAAGTTTTATCTTGATGGAGTAAGAAATCCTGATAAATTATTGACTCTTTTCACGCAATTGTTTTCTAAGCTCCAACAAACCGCCTTGTTTTCTAGTATCCATTTTCAATTGGATACTATACTGTAAAATGTATTCTATGCAAGACCAGTCATCTTGTCACTCCAAATTCCTCATTCTTCTGTGTTACCCATCTCAGGAAACAGAATCTCCATCCTCAGAAACAGGGAGCTTCCTTTATATCTCACTCTCCCTTGAGTCTCTGATTGACTCAACTGCCAACCCTATTAATTGTTCTTGGTTTGAAGATGTACCCACTTTCCTCCCTGTTTTCTAGGGTTCTTAGTTCAAAAACTGATGAAAATGACCTTGATATCAATGTTAGTTAATTATTTTCCTTTTTGCCTTGAAACAAATACTCAAGAAAAGCAACTTACGAAAGTGTTTGCTTTGACTCACATTTCAAGGGAATACAGTTATTGGTAGAAGAGCATAATAAGGCAACTGGTCATATGGCTTCTACAATCGCGAATAAAAAAGGAAAAAGATGGCTTGTTTTCAGCTCATTTTCTCCTTTTTAGACAATCTAGAACATCAGCCAATGGAATGGTGATGCCCATATTGAGGGTGGCTATTCCCATCCTGTTGGGGAAGTCCTGTTATTTGCCTGTGCATTTGTCAATAAAGTACTGTCTGGCCAATAGAAAACCTAGATAGGAGGGACTAGGAGTCGAGGAGGATTCTGGGAAGGGAAAACACAAGAGAGTCAACATGTGACGCCATGGGGGTAGGACACCGGGAACTATTCTCCGGTAAGAAACATACTTAGGTTAACAATTATGGGGTAATTACTTAAGGCAGAGCTAGCCAGTAAGAGACAAACAAGGCCAACAGCTTCATAATTAATATAGCCTCCTGTGTGTTTATTTGGGACTCATGCGGATCTAGAACCAGGCTGGTGCGGCAGAGCCCAGGCGACTGGCGGGGGATAAACCAAAGCAGCTAAAAAGGAAAAGCTTCTCTTAACGCCATCCAGTTTGCCAGGTCTAAAATAACCCTCATAGACATGCTCAAAGGTTTGTCTCCTAGTGATCTTAGAACCTGATAAGTATTAACATCACAATGTCTATCAATTGCTTTCATGAAAACTTGCCTTACACCAGTTATTGCCTACACATCAAACCTATTCTTGTTCAAACATAGTCACATACATCAAAATATGTCATCTTTTCTGCACATAGCTACCCTGGATGCCCTAGGATATTGCTGACCTCACATGTTTGATGACAGGAGAAAGCAGACCACACTGGGCAGCATTTACAGCACAATATTTTCGGTGTCACTACCTCAAAGTAACTCAATGATACCATGAAAGGCTGTATATGCATCAGAATGACTGAACATGATATCAATAACTACACCAAAAAAATGGGGGGAGATGAAACACTATCTTCAAATCCTCTCAGACAAGCCACACCCCCTAAGCATGTAAGGCAAGTATCAATGAGGAATACTAGATCTGCTGAAGAAATAGAGCAACAGTTGTATCCATTGTCCATGAAGAAATTTGAAGTAGCTAACCACTGGGATATAAAAGAAACAAATTGCATGAGCTGAATGAATTCTAGAAGGACACGAGTGAAGTGACAACTAGTGAGCAGAACAGTGGTGCTGAGGAATTCACTGGCATTATGACTCACAAAAGGAAAATTCTGGTAATGTCCCAAGAGACATCAGAAGACACATGGGAGACACAGAGACTCAAGAAGGACCCCATAAGAAAAAAATGAAGAAAGGTTCAGGAAAGCCAGATAATTACTTCAAGAAACAATGGTTGAGAGTTTTCTAGAATCAAAGAATGGCATTGTCTTTCTTTGAGAATACAAGTGCCAGACCAAATAAATACCAATAAATTTGGCCTTAAAAACACATCGCCTACAACAGCTATCCTAACAGCAAGGAATAAAATAGTTAAGAGGTATCTTGAAAACAGCAAATCAAGACTGTCAACAGAAGAGATAAATGTATTCAGAATTTGAAAACCAAGAGGTTAAGATCCAAAACCTCACAGGAGAGTCTGTCCAAGGGCACGTGCCAGCAAGGAAAGCAGAGGTTACAGAGGGCACAGGAATTCCTGCAGTAAATCAATTCCAGACTGTAAACAATAACAAGTCATTTTTGTGTTTATAAAAGATTAATAATAAGATGTCTGGGAAATTTTAAGAAACAAATTCAGACATGCTAAAAATTTTGCCTTATTCTCTTTGTGTAATTCAATAAATTCTGGGTTGTTAATATGCACCAGAAACTGCTGTCTTCCTTGGGAGTAACAGACACATAGCAAGTGTCTTATCCTCATAGAGTCTACATTCTAGGATTGGAACGAATAAACAGAAATGTGGTGAAAAATAATACGAGGTTCTATGGTGCTGAACAGGGTTGAGCAGCCTTTGGAGTATAACTGAATATTCCTATGGCTGGGAAATTTCCTTGAACAAACACTATCCCCAGACAAGCACATGTTTGCTACATGAGCTTTAAAACAAAGAACAGAGAGCAGACAGGAATGCTGAATGTGTTTAGAATTTGTTGCAAACATGCGTTAAGTATATATAACATTTTCAGGATATTTGTGACAAAAATAAAAATACTAAAAGAGGAGGGGAAAGCTCATTAAACTGAAGGTCAGAAGGTTTATTTTAAACAATAACAAATTGTAGTCTTAAAAAGGTGTAGTTAGTAGATGGGGAATTGGGGCTAGGGAGAGACTGTCACGGGCTCTGAAAGTCCAATGCATATATTATACATTGCCTGAGTTATTTCCCTTGCCTTTATTGCTTCCACCTTCCAGCTAGGCAGTGTATTCAGATACCGGGGGAGGGGGCCGGGGGGCAGTAATTTTCTTTTTCATTAAATGAGTCTTCACTTACACAGTGCAAGCAAAAGAAGAAAGAACTGTGATGATTTGAAATTCTGTGGAGGTGGGTCCTGAACCCTTTCTTCTCTCAACAATCACCCCAAAGCAACAAAGAGCAAAAATGAGAACTTTACCTTTGATTCAAATTAGAGGTATCAAAAACCCAAACCAGAAAATGCGTGGGGAGTCTTCTGGTGTATGTGGCTAGGAGGAGACGAAGAGAAGATGGCCCTGGAGACCTTCTCTTTCAGAGGGAAGCTATGTTGCTCAATGCCACCCAAGATCTTCTGTGTGAAGCAGTCAGTGGTGCTTGGTACACAGATGAGGGTGGCTTATTACGACTCATTGAGTTCTCTCTCCCTCTGCCTCCCTCTTTCTTTCCCTATCCCCCTTCCTCTCTGCACAATGTCTGGAGTGGGTCTCTGTATTTGTTCCCATCTGGGGCAGCAGGAACTTCCTCTAATGATGAACAAGGCTCTGATCTCTATGAGTATAGCAGAATGCCATTGGGAATAATTTCATTGCTAGGTTTTTGTTGTTGTTTTAAGACTTGTACTATTTGCTTATACGCTAGATCCCTGGGTTATCTAGTCTCTGGTTCTTGGTCACCCAAGCAGTGTTGGGTATGGGTTCCATCTTGTAGAGTGGGCCTTAAGTCCCATCACTAAGAAGTGATGGAAGAACCCCAAGAATAAGAGAGAGAATGCTATATAACACCTGAGCTCTGGCTTTATATGGAGGATTTGCCAACAAAGCACGGGAAGGAGAGAGCTTGTCTAACTTAGGAAAGTGCTTGTCTAACATACTTGAGGATCTGGGCTCCACTATCAACAGTGAGACAACCCCATGTGGTGGGCCATATCCCAGTCCTTGGGAGGTAGAAACTGGAGAATAAGGAGTTCAAGGTCTTCCTTTGCTACATAGAGAGTTCAAGGATGCACCTACACACAAGCATAGTTCTCTCCCCCAATCTACACCACCAAGAAATGAACAATGTATATAAACATGCGGCTCTAAACCAATGAACCAAAACTTTCCAAGAAAACTGTGGTCCAACTCATTTATGAATAATAATAAATATACCACAATGTGAGCAAATATTAGGAAGAGCTTTAAGGCGCAGGGATTATTCTTGGAAGTTTAGTTGATCTTATGAAGTTTTGCATGTTATAATACATGTGTATGAATAATGTACATATGTGAGAAAATTACTGAAACTAAAAAGTTAAGTAAACATCAGTTTTGAAGAAAATGTTCGAATACTATGACTATGTCCTTAAATGATGGAATGCCTGAAGGTAAAGTCAGCCTGGGAATAACACAAAAGCACTAACAATACTATCTATCCCTAGGGCTGTGATGTAGTCAATGGCAGAGCACTCACCTAGTATGTATTAGGCCCTAGGCCTTGCACTAGGAAAAGCAAATATAAGGATCCTGGGAAGGGTGTGGAACAAGATGGGTATATCTGCCTTTCTGATACTGTTTGTCACTGTTTTGGTAATAGAGAAAAAACTAAAAGGTGTGTAATTTTAAGGGACAGAGTAATTTCTTTTTGTTATCCAGAGGAATACATAGCCAGGAAGCAGGAAGTAACCATTAAGTGTGCCATAGACTCACTAAGACCAAATCTAACAACAGACATCAAGAACATTCATCTATTTACACAGAATTTAGTTAGAAAATATCATGGAAAGGTCCACCACTCACAAAGGCAACCAACAGCTAGGGAATGGGGGCAGCTCAGTGGCAGAGCACGTGCCTACCACACTGTGACATGCCTCGGGTGCTAGCCCCACATTGCCAAAAGAAGCAACCAAAAACAAGAGAGCTGTATGTAAGAGCTGTATAGAAACAATTGAGAGGGCTACCAAAGAACAAAAGTGGAAATGGTCAGACAATGTCAGTGCTCCTTAAAGATTCCATGCAATC